AGACATATGTGTGTACTACCCATCATTCCCATGCTCGCTGAAGCGCCGTGCGTTGCAGCTCCCACAGACACTAGCGCCGGAGTTCCCTCTAGCAAGTATTGTGGGAAACTCTATGACTTGGGAGAGGAGGGTTGGACACTTTGGATAGGATATGGAAGAGAGTCTCGCTGCATTCTCTATATTAAGGGGCTTTAATGGTCCTCAGTCCGGTGCGCCATCTATCGGCATGCCGCAAACGAGAACATACTCGCTTCCTCCCCGCCAAGCGCTCGCTAAGCGGCGTTCGCTCACCTAAAGTATTCTTGCACCGCGGTCAAGCCCGAGGTGGTATAAAATGCCGTCCCCAGCACCTCCACCAGATGTCACGGGGCCGTGACACGGACGAAGGGAAACACACTCGATGTTCAGATGAAACTGCTTATTCAGCCAAACTTGTGGCGAGCGCACCGAAGGTTAGATTGCACGCAACACACGAGCAACAAAGAGAAGTTTATTGACTTCCAACCAAGGATAGAGTACATGACAAAAACATCGAGCTTCACGACTACAAAGGGTGCATGTACAATCAGGAAAGCACCACTACCGACGTACAATGTATGTGGGGGAATGTACCCCTCTATTTACTGTACAGCGCGTGGTGCTCCAGCAGGCTTAATCAACACACGGGCACTGATACCGGCGAACAGAGCGTCGGCCGGCGATCAACTGACAAGCGGTGAAGCGCGTCGGCATTTATGCACGTGCCGTCGTACGTTCTAGCGTTATCGCTATAGGCCGCATAGGTTTCAGAATAATCTGTAATATCCGCGAAATGGGCGTAATTATAACAAAACGATCTACTATAATCATCAACCTTCTAGAACGAGGCGCAGTTTGCTGTCACGCATTCCAGACAGGCTTTGTGGCCGAAAATCGAATGAAAAATTAGTGTAAATAAGAAACTAGCATTATTTACTCATCGAAGAGAAACTGCAAAACCTGATTGACAGAGACAAGAAACTTGGTTATGGGAAGGAAACCACGCAAAAGATTTGAGAAAGTAGAAATTGGAAACATGCCCCGCCGTGGTGGTCTAGTGGCTAAGGTACTCGGCTGCTGACCCGCAGGTCGCGGCATCAAATCCCGGCTGCGGCGGCTGCATTTCCGATGGAGGTGGAAATGTTGTAGGCCCGTGTGCTCAGATTTGGGTGCACGTTAAAGAACCCCGGGTGGTCAAAATTGACGGAGCCCCCTCCCCTACGGCGTCTCTCATAATCGTATGGTGGTTTCGAGACGTTAAACCCCCCATATCAATCAATCAATCGGAAATTAAAAACATGAGGTGATCTAGCACGCCTGGCAGCTCAATAAATATAGCATAATGCCATGTGGGCCCGAGGTCGTGTATTCGATTTCTGCTGCCGCACCGGAAGCCACGACACGATAATTGTGAAGAGGCTCGTGCAAGTAGCTTTTTAGACGCACGTTATGTGCATAAGATGCAGAAGGTCGGGAGGTTAATGGGACAGTAATAGTCAATTAGCTACCGGGGAAAGGGAGACATAAAGGCACAAAATAAACTTCATAGTAAGTGAAGAGAGCGAAAGAGAAAAATAAGTTAAAGAAAACAGACTTTAAAGAACACGGGAGTGTCTTAATCGTTTAAAGAGGTCCATTGTTCATATGAACTCCACTATCGCCAACATCCTATACTCTGCCACGTAAGCCGATTCCGTGACCTCAATATCCCATTTGATTTTTTCCCTTTTATTTTTTATTATTATCAGCGGAGCACCCAGGCTGACCGCACGCCGTATACACACCCTCCCCTATCGGTATGCGGTCAGTGTGGTCAAGTTGACCGACCAACCCTTTGAGGGCTCGCAGTGGGTCTCTCGATCCACGCCTTCTTCGACTTCCCCGCCCTCCTTACCCCGCTTTTCGGGGCTCGGTTATCGTGACGAACCCTTCGCACGCCGTTCCCCTCTACGCCGCAGATACTCCTTCAGACTCTGGGGGGCATCTGCATACAAATTGCTTTTTCGAGGAAGGGCTTGTAGGAGGCGAGGCGAGCACACCGCACGCCATCCGGTGTCCGTGTCGAAAGGCCGTGCTCGTCTCCGAACCGCAATCGACGTTGCATTTGATGGGTTTTACTTTTATCTCCGGTATGCACCGCCTGTAACTTCCGCGGCATCGCCCTTCCTCGATGTGTTGTAGGTTTTCTTTGTCTTATCTGTTTGCTTTACTAGGCCCACTTGATTGATCACTCCATTCCTTTTCTTTTTTTTCGTTTCCGGCGAATTCTGCGTGAGTCGTGGTTCGGCGTTTCGTGGTCAAGGACGTTTGACTATACTCCCACTTTACAGAGGCACTTTTATGTGGTGTACGCGTACGATGTGACACCCTGGCAGGACGTGTGATATATAGGTGTGCGATAATAATGAGATCTAACAGACAATCATGCCAAGCATATTACGGCGCGACGCTTTTATACGACGTCCAATGCATCAGCCTTCATGCTATACAATGTTTGTGAAGTTATGCGCTGAGGCTGCAGATTGTGAGTGGGACCCAGCTAAAAAAATTGCCCGCAGCTTCCCTCGGGGGAACACTGAGGAGGATGCGGAGCATATAATTGGTTAACGGGGTGTTAAAGTGCGACTTACTTGGGTCGATGGCTAAATTGGTTAACGTGGTTGTGCAATGGGGTGTTAAATTGCGACTTACTTGGGTCGCTGGCTAAATTGGTTAACGTGGTTGTAGGAGGGGTGTTAAATGAGTGAACACGTACGACACGTATGCGAAAGGGCGGTGTCACGTTCTCTAAGTTGAGCATCTTCCGCTCGACGCCGACGTTTACGTTCGGCGTCGCGAGCTCTTCTCCGCGCTGCCTTGTCTTCGGACGACGACTTGGTTGTGGTTCCGCCAACACTTTGGCCGGCGCTGGTCGAAGGGACGTCGATCATTGCGACCTCGGACGTCGACGCGCCGTACAAACCAACCGACGAGCGGCAACTGAGCGAGCGAGCACCGACCTTGAGTATATATACAGCGCGACGGCGCATGCACTGTCAGCCGTCGAATGTTCGAGAAGGGGGAGAAGCACAACGGCGCATGCGCGCGCGTCAGCTGCCGATGTTCTCGAAGCGCGACGGCGCATGCGCGCGCGTCAGCTGCCGATGTTCTCGAAGCGTGACGGCTCATGCGCGCTACATTATACAGCTAGCGAATGTTCGTGAAGAGGAGAAGCGCACGCGGTGTGTAGAGGAGGAAGGGTGCACAGATGGTGGAGGAGTGAACCGCGCGCGGTGTGTAGAGGAGGAAGGGATGCACAGATGGTGGAAGAAGGAGGAGGAAGCTTGCGGACGGCGCCGCACTACAAGCCTCGAGTATTAGATGCTCCGCATCTAAAAGAAGAAGGCACAGGTGTCGGTGCTAATAACTCTGGGCACCAACTCAGTGGTGCCAAGTCAGCTTCTTCAAAGCGCGCTGCAGAACAGTATGGCTTTAAGGGGAAAGTAAAAAGAAGAAGGGTTTTTCGCGTACTAGTATAAAGTACAATTCCGCAATTCAGAAAACGCCGCTTGTATCGCTTGGCAAGCGAGAAAACGCGCCAAAACGAAATGCTGGTGGAGACGCCGCCGGCAGATTCCCGCACCAAACGCCGTTACGCCATCAATTTCGAAGGTCTCCACTGGGTCTTATGTAGCTTCTAATCAATAAAGATTGTCTACAGTGTCATCTCTGGGTGCCGTAGACCTAGCATACGAAGTTTCACAACATTTAGCCAAGTCAATGTAGCGAAAACACGAAAAAATGGCTTTTTGAAATTTTTTGTTGGGACGCGCGGAGATTCCGGCACGGAATTTCAAAACGAAACTGCAACTCTAATTTTCTCCGCCAATAATGAACTTGTGATAGTGAAATGCATGGCACTGTAGTTCTCAGAACGCAATTCATCAATCTAAACTTAGTCATTCTTTGTTTCTATTGTCCCAAAAGGAGATAGATTTTCAGGAGACCGTTTTGCTGTGTGTTTAGAAAAAAAAATGTTTAACGATTTCGAGTACTTCGTACTCAGAGCACTGAGCCGTGGCGATCCTAAGAACGACTCGGACAGAGCGTTCGGCGGTGAGCATCTCGACACATCAGTAACGAAACCAGCAGATAAGAAAAACAAGGAAAGTGCTTTTTCTTTTACTTTCTCTTGGCTGTTTGACCTAATCGATGCTATAGTATAGTGTTGACATATGGTTGGCTAAATAAGGTTACGTATCGGGCTTTCTATAGCGTAAACATCCCTAGCTTTTCTTTCTGTTCCTTCGTCCCCTCGTGTGCCCCAACGCTTTTGACAATTCAGCCTGTAGTCGATTACTTCTATCGACCAATTTTTATTTATGGACACTCTCGACTGCGCGCTTATTTCGTCAGGGGGAAAAAAGAGTGGGAGGAGCGCTCATAGTTGCCAGTTGCCGCGCTATCTCGGCAACGATCCCCGCGCGGCTCTTGCCCCCACAGCAGGCGGGAGCTTCTACGGGATGTACTCTCAACACGGAAAAACGGTGCCAAACGTGTACCTGGAGTGGTCATCCACATATAGATGCGCTCTACACGTAACAAACTGCCACGGCCGTTAGTACCAGCATGAGCTGCCCATGGGAGGCGTTTTTTATTAACGCCGTCACTATATATCACGAACCTTGTTGTGGTCATCTACTGTGGCCACACTGCCGGAAACTGTGCAAGTGCATGTTTACTACAATATTATTCTTCCTAAAAATGCAAACCGTGATTCGTAAAACATCCGAATATGTTGCTGTCGCATTCATCAGTTCGCCATCTTGGCCCAAGTGTGACTTTTTGTGTATGTGGAGGAACATACTTTTCTAGAGTGCAACAGATACTTTTTTGAGTGTATAACGGAATGGTGGATATGCTAAATTTAAAAAAAAGAGATAAAGGAAGAAAAACGGTGGGCCAATGACGTGCATTTCAATTTTCTTGTTTTGTTTTCGCAGTGATGCTGTCCACGGACGGATCGAGTTGCATCAACGTGGTCGGCCTCATCGTGGCCTGCTCCATGTTCCTGATGGCCCAGGTGGTCCTCCTGCTCGTCTGGGGATGCGTGTGGCAGCGCAGGCGCCGCAACAAGCTCGACGAGTGCAACACGCCCAGCATCGACATCCTCTACTCGTCCTCCAGTAAGATCTACTAGTACGCATCATCGAGTGAGCTGACTCCATGACGGCTGTAGGGTGACACGAAATACCGCGAGTCTTCAAGACATTGGAGAACTCCCTTCCAAGCGCGCGCGTGTGCGTGTTGTCTTGTATCATCGTGAACTCAAGGTAGTCTTGTAGCATCATGGACTCAAGCTTGAACCACTTCGGCCGACGAAGATGGTTCGCACACTGGCCACTTGAGTTCACGATACCTGCGGCAGCAGCGGGATCTCCGAGCCACATAACACCGTTCGTAAACACCGTAATACCACGTAACGCCGCGCGTTACTTTAGGGTTACAAGGGTGCGTTGAGTCGTGGTCGACACCGGCTGCAATCTATAACTCGATCGCGATTCGCTTCCTTTCGCCGGCTCCGAACGTGGCTAAATTTCTACGGAGACATTCCGCTCCTGCCGGACTTGATTGTTATCCTGAGCGGTATTTGTGCGATCGGGGCATTAGTGTCCGTACCCGTCATGAAGACTGCAGTAAGCGCACGCTGCTTTCTTCTGCGCTAGAAAGCTTGTACTTGGACGAATATTTCCTGAGATAGACACCAGTAAGGTGCACGAGCTGTTTTCAATTGGAGAAAGAGATGTTAAAAACTCAGACAGAACCACTTATTGGGAAAGCAGTTCATACACAACGTTTGTCATGTGGGGTTCATCTCGGAAGTTATTCCTGAAAGATCTCAAGATTATCCTGCTCAGTAGTCAAGCTCAATAATGTAACTCTTCATATGGACCTTGCAATGTAGATCGCACAAAAGCTTGAAGGCTGTATTACTTTGTTGCACGACCATGACTAGGGTCGATGCGTGACCGTGAGATACCAAGATGTGCTCAGGCACAAGCTTGATCAACTACTACTGCTGGAACATAACGTTAACTTTATAATTGTCATACTCGATTACATTTGGCACATTGCGAAACGTTGTGCCTAATTCAAATGTTCCGTCTTAGTGCATTTCATACAGCCGGACACTGGCCGTAGGAGACAATTTGTCAAGTGCATTTTTGTAGATGTGATTCTTTTAGTCTGACAAGGTACCATTCAGTGTGCAGTTCAATCTTGCGAGGAAAATAAAACGAATTCTCTAGTGCGTTTCCTTCTTATAAGGATACATGCTGGGCACTTTAGCGTAAGCGATGTTCACAAAAAGAGAGAACCAGGCAATATGACGTTAGAAATACGAAATACGTCCTCAGAACTAACGACGTAGATTGGGATAAAATTACACCTAAATAATGCAGGTTCATCTTTGTTCCCTCCTTAAAGCATTCTTGCTGCTTTCGGACTCGTAGAGAAAAAAAAAAAGGTTAGAAATATTCAGAGAACGAAAATATTTCTGCAGTTTTTCGATAGCAGAGCACGAGGAAGCGAACTACAGTTTTCTTCGTTCTCTCTCGAACGTGCAGGAGAAAGCAGCGTGCGATACACGAGAGATGGCGCCACCAGTCGTCAAGCAGCCGGCAGCGCGGCGTTCAACTCTCTTTTCAACGGTCCTTGCCGGCACCTGCAGTCCAGGCGCTGATAGATGCAATATCTCTCACTCGAACATCTATACACACTGTACACACAATATACGTGCATGACCGGCGCAAGCAAAAAAAAATAATAATGCTCCCGACTTTGCACCAATGACTAGCTCAACACTGCCAATGCGTGCGAGAAACGACAGATTCTGAGATGGGCTCGAGTTCTACGCTTCTGAAAGACGTCGCTCCGAGCAGCAACCGTCATCGGCATCTACGAAACCAGCGGAAAGAGAAAAAAAAAGAGACTGTGCTACTGGTGTTTGGTGTAGTGCCTGCTACGACGTGTGTGTTGCTGCCAACAGCACTTCCTCGGAACTCTTGTGTTTTTTGCGTTACTGCGGCGGGCCTTCGAAAATCCCTCCTGTGCGTCGTGGCGTTTGCACCAAAGAACATTTGCTGGACCGGACGTTGCAAGGGTCTGATACGCCAGTTCATTGACTCCAGTGTGCTGGACGTTAGCGTGTGTGTGCATCGAATGTGAACTCCCCCCCCCCCCCCTTTTTTTTTAATCTTATGTGAAGTGAACGTTTGTCTCGTGTGTTTTGAAACTGCTCTTCAAGGAGGGACTGGTTCCCTATCTTATCCTTTCATCTCCGGAAACGTGGAGTGACTGTGAACGCTTTAGTCTTGCAGTTATCTGCCCTGTGTAGAGCAGTCTAGCTTATATAGGGTGCTGGGCTTTTGGTGGTTGCTACGATGAAACAGAAAACTTTCGTCGATATGTCGACGCTGTCGAATCTACTCATAGTTTTGGTTTCGGCTGTTCTCTAGAGATGACTCGCTGAGCCATTTTAGAGCCCGGGATAGTGTATTTACGTAATGCAGCGTTGGTGTAACATACAAACCGATCCTCGTTTTAGCGTTCGTTTTTTTTTTTTATCATGAGCACTGCTGGTAATCATGATGAACTGATTTTATATGTATTAACATGGCTGCTGAGCAGCACGTCTTAACCAACTACGTTTAACTAGCGTTGAAAGCAGTTTTTTTTTCTAGTTTCAGGAGTTGGTAAAAGGGATTCCATCTGAGCTTTAGTGACCGATACTTCTATTTCGCCCTTCCTATAACGGGGGATTTTTATATAGTTTTTTTTCTAAATGCACCGCGAGATGCTTTTATGCACGACGTTCACCAAACCCCCAAGTCAGCTGGCTCATCCAATCGTTCTTGTTTTTATTCGTGCATAAGTTCAGTGCTTATACGACGTCTAACCATAATCGCTACCCCTACATTTTCCGTGAGTTGACTGATTGTTGAGAACAGGGAAAGCCATGGTCGCGTCACCTTACGCTCATTAGTTTCGCAAACACGCAGTTCGGTGTGCTAATTTACATTCGGTCATCTGCCTAAGATTTTTGGGACGCCTTTTGCACTAACAATTGGTTCTAAAATCCTCGCTACGCTTCAGAGCCGTAACCCTCACCTGTCTGCCTCGAGAGTATTTTATAGCGTTAAAACGCTGCTCAGGAACTTGCTTTTACGTTAGATACTTTACCCAAGGGAATCTAGCTAACTCGGGGGAGCCCAACAGCTCTCGCTGCCAAACCGAAGACGAACAAAACAATCCTTTCACTCTCTACTGCAATCTTATTCGAATCGATATCAAGTTCTCTTTAGACAACGCTTACGCCTTGGTGTCACGTGACATGACGTCAACGGAGAAGGCCGGATGGTCGCTCTGAAAGCCACGCTTTCGCAAAAAAAAAAAAAAAATTGAACGTGCCAATTCTGAGCGACGTCTAGCGTTAAAGTACAGACTATTTATAGATGGGCGTCATGTCACGCTAGAACCTCGGGCGTGCAAGTTGTCTGAAGTTTATGTGCTACGGGAGAGAGAAACGCCTACGCTATCGCACTATCTGGTAGGGGCATGCGAATTCGCATCCTCGCTCAGTGCCTTTGTGAATCCGCCTTTTCAATTCCGTGTGCTGCCCTCTTGGTGCGGGCCTGGACAACTTGCGTTGTCAAAACGGATGCCTCCGAGATCAAGAGGCGTTTCCCGACATTCCGCCAGGAGAACGGCGCATGCGCAGCGACATTGCGAAAAAAAAAAAAGGCTGATCGTGAAACGCAGAAAACATTCATCACCCTGGTTCAGTTCAAAACGAACAAGTGGTAGAATCTACAGACCGCTAAATATACATACTAACATAAAAACAAAGGTGCAAACTAAAGAAAGTATCTGCAGCTGCTAAAGTGCTGTTCGGTGAGTAAGCGTTCAAATTCGAGTCGTAAAATTATCTGTTCAACGTTGCTATCACTCGGCATCATCACTAAATCACTTCCATGTTGCCATGCGCGTTCATTTTCGGATCGCTGCCTATATCGGGTGGAATGACTTGAAAGCCGCTTGCCTAATGCTGTTCGGCCACCTCGAATTGAAGCCATGAACGTCCGTCAATGTGAGTGCAGTTCAATGTTCAAGTTCAAGCGGGAAATACGTCAACCTCGTGATCGCAGCCGTTAAGTGAGTTTACACCATATTGTTACTAGGTCAGAAGTGTCAAGCTTAGTTAATCGGAGTCCAAGTCAGTTATTATCACTCACAAACTGCTATGCAAACATTCATGCCTTCAGTCAAATTTCTTCACGTTTGTCCACCTACACGTGAACCGGTTACACGAAACAAGTTAGAATGCAACTTGAGCGGTTAACTGCGGGTAATGTGACATTTCTGCAATAACTATACTTTACTTATATCAGTGATAACTTTACAAATCACACCACGGACTCAAAACAGTGAGCTCCTTTCCCGATAATACACCTGCCTGTGTCAAATTACTGAAATCGCACATAAATTATGGCACTGCAAAAAAAAAAAGTATGCAGGTTGAATTGTACAGCAGTCGCGTAAGAATGGGCCGTTACAACACCCGCTCCGAGGGATGCCGAAATTTAGCGGCTGTTTTTAAAATGTCTCGCCTCTGAGAAGATGGCATTGATTGATTGATTGATTAATTGTTTGTTTGATTGATTGATTGATTGACACTAGAAGTTGGCCGTTTTCGCTGCACTATTTTTTCATTTAATTCATCAGCATACGGAGATAGAGTGATCAACCAAAACAGTATGCGTATCTCCTTACGGGTAATTATTGCGTGATTCATTACTGAAGAAGTGAAGCGCCGTACGTAACACGGACTGGAGAAGAGTGTTCACAAGCGCTTCTGTTGTTCGCCTCTCCTCTCGTCCGTGTTACGTGCCACGCCCCACTACTTCTATACTGAACCGCTACCAACTAGCCTAAATGGCTGTTTTGCTACATCATTGCGTGAAGCCAGTGACGTAGATCTCGAAAAATATCTGGGGGGGGGGGGGGGGGACAAACATCTTGTCATGATGGTCATGTTCTTATAAATCTAGGTTTTATTTTTGATTCGATTAGAAGTTGAAATTGTGCTTTTAAATGCAATTCTCCCGGAAAAGGTTTTTAGATCTTAAATTGGGGAGTAAGGAGAGTTTGCTG